GCCGACTTCCCTGAGGCGACGCTCTTTCGGGTGCTTCCGCTTGCTCTCCTCCTGAGACCTCCCGGACATCGGCGCTTGCTTCGCCTCGATAGGCCGCAACCCAGGTGCCGGGCCCGCTTGACTTTCGCGGCCCAACGCCCGCTTCGGTCCTTCGTCCGTCGCGCTCGGTCTCGCCTTCGCAGTATTCCTCCTCGTAGCAGCGGCCGCTGCCCCGATGCACGACCCGGCCTCGCCAGAAGGACGATTGTGCCCGGCCACGTCCCTGATCCCTTTGGGCTGGATGGCCCGGGGCGACTGCAGGCTCGCCTCTCCCAGCCGAAATCCCATCCTGCTTGTCGGTCTCCCCCTCCTCTGTTCCCCCCCGGCACCAGTTGTCCGCCTAACAAGACCCTTCAGAGTCATCCGTACGCCACCGATGAGTTGCCCAGGCCGAACGATCTCGTGGCCACCTCCGGCCGCGACGGAAGATCCCCTGCCGCTTAGGCATTCGTTTCGCCCAACCAAGACCCCTGGGGCGGGTGGTGCTTGCAGAGCAACTATGCCTGGTGCGCCTCTCTCGCCACTCCTAGCCCTCATCTCCTTCGCCAACGTGTGCCGCTGCGGTACGAGGTTGTCGGCCGCTCCCTCCAACACAGCGCCAACGGACGGCGTAAGACCCCGCCTAGCCGGCTCAGCAACTACCGACCCTATTGTGGCAGCGTCTGCTTCTATGCTTGGACACCTATCACGCGCGTTTATCGCTTCTGAGCGTCGCGCCCGCCCTCCCTTCGAGGAGGCGCCATTGACGTGCGTCGTCTTTTCCCGCGGCCAACCGCCTCGCCGACTTCCCTTGGGCAACGCTCTTTGAGTGCCTCTGCTTGTTCTCTTCGTGAGGCCTCCTCAGCCAGCGTTGCCTGCTTGGCTTCGATAGGCCGGAACCTAGGTACCGTATTAGCTTGGCTTTCATGGTCCGAGGCCCGCTTCGGCCCTTCGTCCGTTGCACTCAGTCTCCCGCCGTAATGCTCCTCGTCGCAGCAGCGGCCGCTGCCACCGTCGCTATTTCGCACCCTCTTGCCACCAACCTAGCCTCGCGGCTAGGATTCTCCCCCATGCTGGTGCTTTCTTGACGGCTAGGCTCTGCAACCGTACGATGGATAGGGAAGCTTTCGCTCGCGATATACGCTGGGATTGCCTTGCTTCCCGGCGATGGCGTTCCGCCGTATCGCCATTCTTCCTACCAGCGGTCTGTCTCCAGCAACCTTATAGTCTTTATAACTCGGGGACAACGCGGCAGTGCTTGTCCGGGACAGACCCCTCCCCTTCTCCCCGCGGTTCCTAACTCCGCCGCCACGCGTCTTTCCCGGCGGACGGCCTCGACTAGCCCATGCGCAGGAGCTGACACCATAAAAATCTGCCTGGCGAGGTCTTCTCCTCCTCCTCGGTTCTCCTCCGCATCTTTCTATTTGGCCGTTGCAAATAGGCGGCCAAAGGAACATTGTGCTAATCTTTCTTTTTCCTCGGTATCTCTTAGTATTCCTGCTGCACCGAAAGTAGGAATGGCCCTCCCTTCAGCTCGCCCTCACCTATAACGGTTGCTTCCGGTCCCCTCTTTCCCGACCTTCCCTATCAAGTGTAACCACGACCTTCCCTGCAACACCTCCCCGTGCGCTTTGTACGTGTTATATATTAGGTCGGTCTCTACCCCCCGCGAGGAGGGCAAACTAATTGGTGTACAACAGGGCGTGGAAAGGTATGACAAGGTTCCCTGTGCTGATCTTGCCTGCTTCATCCCCGCCCCTTATCTTCAGCCTTCTAAAACGCCCCTGTTTATGTCCTTCCTTATTGATGTCCTCCTTTGCATCAGGCCTCTGCTCTCCCAGGCCTGCTGGGCTTCCTCTGGACCTATCGGCAGGCTTATCTGCCGACAGCCCTAGCTTTCGGCCTCCTATGCCGCCAGCCCTGCCGGACACTTTAGTCCGCGCCGCCCTTGGTGCCTGATCGGAACCCAGCTACACGACACCACTACGCATCTCTTCAACGTCCGTTTACTTACAGCGGCAAGGCTCCTCGCCCTTCCCGGCGAATCTATGTCACCATTGATCTATCCCAAGTGCTTTCACGCTCGACTTCTTCCCTACTCCTTTCTTTCTTGACACTGAGCACTGGTCATTTTCGTGCGCGCGACTGGCCTATCGACCTGCGTTGCTGCACCATGTCTTCCTCTCTACCTCCCATCGATGTGCCCGCACCACACCTTCGAAAGCCGCTCGATAGCCAGAGGGCGCTGGCGGCGAGATGTCCATGGTGTTTTTCGTCCAGCCGGATTGCCCGTTAGATTTGCCCACCAGGACGAGCACCGCATCAAGGGTCTTAACGCCGAGGCCATGGCCCGCGTCTTGCTGCCTCCGCCCGCCTGGCTGCTCGCGATGGGATATGCGCCCTCCGATTGGAGGCCGACGATTCCCGACATCCGTCTTCTTTAGTCTCAATCTCTCGATTTACGGCCAGCCTATTGATGCCTCAAAATGGACGGAAGAGTGGTTTTCATGAATGGCCGCGTCCACCCCTACGCCCTTGCGTGGAGATTGAGCAGCGCGACGGCCTGAGTCCGACACGGGCGGCACCCTTCTCTATACGATGCCCGCCCTTGTCGTCCGCGACCAAGGCTACCAGCCGTAAGCCGTGCCCTGTTCCTCGCAAGTGCCAACGAAAAGATACATAGCTAAGGTGGGCCTGAAGCGTTCTTCCAGGCTCTTGGCCCTATGGACGACTTCCCTGCGTCCCGCCTATTGTTTCCTTTACCGGCCTTATCGTCGGCACCGGCCACTCCTTGCTCCGGCGGGACCTCCTGCCGGGTCTAGACGCCGCCCAGCTTAACTGTTGCGGCTTTGTCCGCCTTTCTACCTACGTCGCTCCTGGGATGCCCAATAAACTCCCTTCAAGGGCTTCCACCCTTCCAGGTCTTCGTCATCTTCCTATTCGCGCTAACCCTGGGCCATCTTGTGTAAGAAGATGGCCGAGAGGCGGACTCTCAATTCCAACCCAACGTCCCTTTACTTGCACAGCCAAGGTCGCCGGCCTGCTCCGTCATGACGTTATGCTCTATCCCCAGGCTCCGACCGGGACAACGTCTTTATTGTCGTCCCGGATTCTTGGACATTTCTCGACAAGGCCGCCGCCGCCGTCACCCCAATGACACCACTTCTCTCACCACAGAGGCAGCAGGCGTCCTCCCCTTCCGCGGCCTTTCAGGACATGCGCGCTGCCTCTTTGTCTTTGGCCACCCCTGGCACCCTCCCGCTCAGCCCTCCACCTTTGGCTTCGGCTTCGCCCTCGACCGGCCCCCTTGGGCCGCCCGGGAAGCGATGTTGCCCCGAGCCTGCCGATACGCCGACGAAACGACCGCGGCTGCTGCATAAGGCCCCGGTGCCTTCGTCTTCCCCTAACCCTGGCTCATCTGCCACCCAGTCGTTCTCTGTTTCGGCTGCCTCCTTGACATCTAAGCCGGATAGCCCTAAACGGGGTCATGTCTTAGGGGACTCTTCCCTCCATTCCATTGTCGCGCATGGCTTGGACTCGCCGGCCCGTCCACTCCGAAACCGTCCCCTATCTAAGAAAGCTACCGAAACGGAATAACGATGCGAAACCATAAACTGCTACAGTTTCCTAAACGAGTAAGACAGTTAAATCTTATACTTTAAGTTAACCTACTCCTTAACCCTACCCTGGTTCTATCACTCTTTTTCACTCCGTCCTTAAGTCCCCCCTGTTCTTACTCCATCCTCAATCCTCACGTCTGCCCCTTTTTTTTCTTCCTTAAGTTTTTTTCCCTGTAGTCTTTCGTTCCTCAAGGCTCTTTGCGCAACCCCCGTTGGGTTGCCTCTCCTGTTGCCTTGAGGAACGAAAGGCTCTTCTGGACGCGAAAAAAAACCCAAAAACTTCAAAACTCATTCACCCTCGAAAACCTCGGCTTCTAATTGGCCCAAAATTTCCTTCTTTCGTCTTAGCCCCTCCTTGCAAGCTTCCTTCTTTTATTGGTTGTTTGGTTGTGTTGCTTTAGCACGTTGTAGCACGTTGGCCGAGGTCCGAACCGCGACCTCTCCCGCATCCCTACTTAATACGAGCACGATGCTGTCGAGCGTCCGGCATCACCATGGCTGCACATATATGCCCCTGGAGCTTAAAGAGTCGACGTCTAGCCATCCCGAGGCCTCGCGAACAGTCTTGTCGCTCAGCTCACCCAGTCTCGCTTGTGCGGCGGTCATCTCCTCTGGAACTCTATTGCCCACCAAATCTCTATCCCGCACTTTAGAGACGAGCATGATGCCATCCAACGTCGGGCAGCGGGACAGCTGCACGTACAGGCTGTACGGGTCGCACTGCGAGGATACGGCGCGTCCATCGATGTTTGACGTCCGCGTCCCCCGCAGCTCCAGAGCTACACGCTCGAGCGTCCTGCCCTGCACTTTATAGTCTGTGCACGCGAAGGCCGCCGTACAGGGCAGACCCTTTCGGCTAACGTCGTTCTGCTGCCACGGCCTCTTTCGCTGGCATTGTATCTTGACGGTCATGGGCGTCAACAAGATCGTTCCTGGCGGCATCCCGACGGAGTGAATGTCTTTCGTTGTCTCGGACTCCAGCATTACCCCCGCCGGCGGCCCGAAATGGACCGTCATGTCTGCCGAGATGCGATGCCCCGGGTACGACTTGTCGAGGATAACCTCCAGCGCCGTGTAGCTGGCACCGTTCACCAGCTTTAGCCCCTGATGGGTGTTGTGGTTCACGACGACCGGCATCCCCGGCACGAACATGAAGACGGCCGGCACCGGTATTGCGCTATCGTCGCCCTGGTTCAGCATCATGATGGCCTCCTCCTCCGTCGGCAAGCCCTCCTTCCATTTATGGCCGGATATGAAGATGCGCAGCGTCGACCGGTGCTGGATCTGGAACGCCAAGCTGGCCTCCATGTTGAGGTTCCACCGGTTCCTATTCAGCGGCGTCACCACAGTGATGCCTGATGCCTACGGGATCCGCCTACCTTCCTGGTAGCATCTTGAGTTGAGGAGGTCCAGATCCGTGCGGTCCTGCGCGCCCAGTCGGATTCGCTTTAACAGCCTCTGCAGCTCTGGGTCGCCAGCGGCGCGCACTTGCTCGTCGAGCATGACGACGGTCGTGAACCTCTTCCACAGCGCGTGCGCCTTGTCGTGCTGGTGCCGTTGCTCGGCCTTGAAAGAGTTGTCCATGTCCCACGAGACGGCCGTGCTGGGAGGAGGATCGACCGCTCTTGGACCGGGCGGAACTGGTGGAAGTCTCCGCAGAAGAGGACAATGGGGATCCTCCAAAATCCTGGTGCGACCCGCGCAGCCGGCAGAGCTGCTCGTTGACCGCGTGGAGCGTCCGCGCACCGAGCATGCTAACCTCGTCGACGACAAGCACGTCCTTCTCCTGCCAGTCCATCCGGGATTGCCCGTGGACGAACCGCTCCGCCTGGTTCGGCATTCGCAACCCGTCGAGATCCCTGGCCATATTTGCGACTGCCGCGAGATCTTTGGAGAACCCGCAGGCGGAGTGGATCGTGATGCCATTGATCCGTGCTGCTGCCGTCCCTGACGTCGCCGTTATTATCAGGCGATTCGATTGATCCTTGGACGCGAAGAGTTCGACGAGCGCCTCGATGACTCGCGACTTGCCCGTTCCGCCCTCTCCGCCGACGAATTGGCATAGCTGACACCCGTTGCCTTTCTCCCCGCGCCGTATGAGGTCAAGCTGACGGCATATGATTAGGAAGGCAATCGCCTGCTTCTTGTTCAGCGTGAACCTCGCTACCAGGGCCTTACCCGCCTCGATAAAGGAGGTTGAGGCGCCGAGCCGGATCTCCATTCCCGCGCTGGCCTCTACCGTTTCCTCGAGGTCCGCCGCCGTCATCAGGATATCGTCATCCCCAAAACCCGTGAGCACGCTGCGCACCACCCCCCGACGATCAGTCACCTCTGCCGGGGGCACGCTTTGTATTCCCCGGATCATCTTCTCCCTCTCCCTGGACGCACAGGTTTGCTGCGACTTTATGGCCCTAACCTGACTCTGCGGCGGTATGGTGGCTCCGGAGGATGCCCGCCCCGGGATGTTGATTCGTCTCGGGCCCCGTTCGGATAGTATTGCGGCCTGGAACTCGGAAGACGACGAAAACGCCAGTTGCTGGAAGCGGCTGAGCTCCTGCATTATCGCTATGAGCTCTGGCGAGCCGGCCGTGATTTGGTTCGCCCCGATCGAGCTTCTGACAACGTCGATTAGACGCGTCGTGTTTCCCGTACTGTCGGCCTGGTATACCGATCCGGGCTCGACACCCGCCTCCGCGGTGCCATCCTCGTCTAGATAGACTGCCGTGGAGTCGCCGTCACCGGATGAGGCTGCCCACTGCTTGGCGTCCCGCTTTGCATCTTCGGCCGACCGTCGCAGCAACTGCACGTTATCGACGTAACATGATATCCTCGGGACCAGAGCTGCTCGTTCCCTCCCCCATATGCGGTTGATGTCGCCGCTTTCTTCCCCTAAGAAGAGCTCCCAAGGCACGAACAGCGCAAGATGCTGCACAGCCGCTCTTCGACGTGGAAATTAGCCTCCTCGACCCGGCGCCCCTGGTCCGTCAACGACAAACGCACCTTCGGTAGCATGATCCTTCGTCGTCTTCGTCGAAATCCTTGCTCAAATACCCGTCGAGGCAGACCATGGCCTGCTTGCCCGGTCGCCTGAGCACCTGCACCCAACTGCTTCCTGGAGCCCAGCCGCTCTCAAGCGGGACCTCGCCCCAGGCGGCGGGCCTCGTCCCCGTCGTTGCGCTTCAGCCTGACTAGCGAAATGTAATCGTAGAGACATAGCCCTCGAAGGACATCTCCCCGGTGACGATATGCCTCGACGCGGCAAATCCTCTGGCCTGCTTCCTCGACGAGTATTGACTCGTCCACGGAACCATCTGCAGTGGCTGCGCCGCTTTCTCGTCGAAGGTGCGGCCATTGTCGGAAGACGTGCCAGTAGAGCACCGAAACGTTCAGGAACGCCCAGGTACTGTTATTCGTCAGTTCAGTCGGGTATCCCAGAAGATCCGCAATAACCTCGACCTGCGATAACGGCCTCTCCGTAAACACGCGATTCGCCACCTTCATTAAGAATTTTCGTGTCTTATTTTGCCTGCCATCGTCCCCGGCACCTTCGCCTCCACGAACCTCCGCGCCGTCGGCCATTTCGTCGCCTGCTCTGGGAGGCAAGAGGTCCGCGGCCGCGACGACGCGCTTCCACACGGGGTCCTCTACCTTGGTCACATAGTTAGTGACGTAAAGACGAGGGCCATGGTCTTGCGCTGTGTGGCGATGAAGGATATGTCATGGTTGTGGCGAAGCCCACGGCAATCGCCTTGTTCCACCGATTCACCATGCTGTGCGACCTCCGAATCCGCAGCACGCCGTCTCCCGTGAAGGCCGTCTCGTCGACCAGTCCCCATGGCGCCTTGAAGCGGCATAAATCACCCTTGCGCCCCTTTTCCCAGCGAGTACTTGACACAGGTCGGGCTATGGGTATGGATTTGCGTCGCGCCGGCACAGAAGTTCGCTTCTTCGTCGAACGAGGCTGAGAATTGCCGTTCATCGCCTAGCAATTGCGATATATCTAACGTCACCGATCGCTCTGCCTGGATTGCGCAGAAACCTTCCTGGTCGAGATCCTGTCCCATTCGTCAGCATTCCTCTCGCTCGGGTTTAACTGAACGGGGGGACATAGGCCAACACGCGGCCCCCTGCACCATACCTCGGAAAAGACGCTGTCGACGTATCTGACGATGCGTTCTCGGTATTCCGCTTGATCCTCGCCGTGGATATCGACAAGCATCGAGCTTAGATGCGCGTTTCCCCTGCAGCCAGAGCAGTCCGTGAACATGAAGCGCCCCTCGCTCGTTGGTCTCCACGGCGCCGTAATAGTGGCTGATGCGCCCGAATACCGACTCCTCGCCCACTCTGACGTAATTTTCGAGGAACAACGTCATTTCCCGGTGGAAGAATTCGGCCGAACTCAACGGGTCCGAGATGGCCAGCCGCGCACGTTTGAATGCCATGTCGAGGCTTCTCAGAAATGCCTCGGCCGCTTCAGGATCACGTGTGCGGTACGCCGCCAGTCTCAGCTTCACCGGGTTCGTGATGTCGTTCGGGTTGAGCGTGAACCATATTGCAGGCACGCCACGACACAAGATGAGTGACTGGATCTTGCGTCGCATGCTCAGACGGAGTTCCCTCGACATGGGCTGCCGGTAGCCGTATAGCGAAAGGCATCTTAGGAGCTCCTTCACGCCATCATCGGTGGTCTTGCCCAGGCTCTCCAACTCCAGCCTGGCCGCCGCCAACCTATCTGCGGTCAGCGACTGTACGATGCGCTCTACCTCGGGGAAGTTCTTCCGCGTCACGCTGAGCATGCTGACACGACGATTCCTCGACCGCACGTCCATGTTGAAAACGAGAAACGAGAAGATGGCATGCGTCGCGAATCGGCCACCATGGCGCCGCAGCACGATGCCGGCCCACGTCCGAAGGCTCATGTTCCGAGACGACAGGAGATCTCGCGCGGCCGTCTCGTCTCCGACTGCCGTAGCGCGCGAATTGACCGTCCCCTCCGACCCTAGGATGACTTCCTCCGCCAGCCGTGGTCCTCCACATCCGAACGGCAATAGGGTGGGAAAGGTCTTCGCGAAGAACGAGGCGTCCAGCGAGTCGGCGAATTCATCTCCACGACTGACGTGAATGTACGGCTCACGGACATCCATACCCCTCGACCCGCCCCCGCCGACCTTATCCATGCCCTCGGGCCCCGCCGGTCGTCCTCGGCCCCGTCGCCGCCCACGGCATTGCAAGCAAAGCGGACCTTCTCCGCATCCGACACGCCCGGCGGTCCGTCCAACGCAAACATGCCGGAAGAGGTTATCTCGTTGATCATTTTGGCCCCGTCTTCGGGCTCGGCATCATTAGCCCCGTCCGCTCCGCCCCCCTCAAATTCTCGACTCGGCTTGTCCGATACGTCTTGTCCCTGGCGGAGCCGAGCAAGGACTTCCTCGATCTCTGCCGGACCATCGTCGTCCATGGCCCGCTCTGCGGGCGGCACAACCTATGCCGTTCGCGTCTTCTCCCACGCAGACGGTTCGTTCCGCTCCATGCGTCCGTACACCATCGACGGCACGCCGTGCGACGGGGTTCCCCAACTATCCATTTCCGCCTTGTCGATCTCAATGTCGGCGTAATGCGGATTGTTCTTCTTCAACCAGACAAGCGCTCTCTCGACGACTTGACGCCTCACCGACAAGAGACCCGACAATTCGCTCGGTGCTGGCTTCTCCGCGCCCTGCCACGAGACATGGATCTCGTCCATTGTTTGCAGAGCGGGTGGGAGCACCTTTCTCGCCAGCTCCTGCACGTTGTTTGGGAACACCGTGATGTGGCCCTTGACGTGTCTCGGATACCTCACAGCCTGCCGCTGCCCGCCCGGAATGCTATACCTCGTCACAAAGCCATAACACGAGTTCAGCGAGATGAGCTTTTCTTCGACCGGCGTCAGGCCCTTGAGCTCGTCGGGGAACATGTGCTCACAGCCGAGGCGACTGTGAAGGTGGACCGCCGGCGACAGGCTCCCGCGCCCCAAACATCGAGCGCACTCCACACAAACCGAGACGGCCTCGCCCTCGGAAAGCAACTTCGACACCCAAATGGCGACCGGCCGCCTTTGGAACGCTGCTTGACCTCCATTGGTCCCATGTGCTCTCCCTCAACTCCTTCCTTGTGCGCTTGCGGTAGCACAGCATGCAGGTCATTATCGGCAAGGTGCTCACATCGTGGAACGCCCGATAGAACTTTCCCACCGTCGATACCTTCCTCTCATGCGGTACTGGTGTGCACCAAGTTTGCTCGTTGGACAGCCTCTCCTTCTCGGCGAATTCCTCTTCAAGGTACCGCAAGGCACTGGCCAAATCCTCCGCCTGCAATTCCTTCCTCCTCTGCCCCGGATGGCCGCCCCGTATGCGTTTCGTCAGAGACCCGTCACGGCCGGGGTGGCGCCTCCTCTTTCTCTGCTCTACGGGCCGCGAAGGTCTCGCCGCCTCGTCTCGTCTCGGCCGACCCTGTTCTCCACCTGTGGTCTGGCGTGATGGCCGCGCTGACAACAGTCCGAATGACTGCCCATCTCCTGCTGCCTCGCCCCTCTCTTTGGGCTGGATTGGCCGAACCGGGTACTCCCTGATATTCCCGGACGGACGCCTGACAGCGGTTGCTGGCCGACCTTCTCTTCCCGGGCTACCTTGGTCTCCCTCCGGCCCTTCCGCATTCTCCATTTCTTTAGGTCTGATTGGCCTTGGCGAATGCTGACTCCCAGGTCGTCGTCTCGCCCGACCAAGGCCTTCGGGGGACTTGGTGCTTGCATACCAACGGTGGCCGCTGCGCTCCTCCCATCACCCCCAATCCTCCTCCTCTTGGGCAAAATGTGCCGGTACGAGATCGAGTCGTTACCCTCGCACTGCAATACACCGCCGACGGGTGGCTCCAGACTCCCACACGGCTTCGTACCCAGCCCCGGCATCGCAGCGTCCGTGTCCATACTCACGGGCTCGTCACGCACGTTTATCGGTGCTAAACGTCGTGCTGGCCGCACCTTCGAAATGCCATCGTTCAGATCTGATGTTCCCCTTCGCCGCCGACCGCCTCGCCGACTGCCCCTGGGCGACGCTCCTTTGAGTGCTTCCGCTTGTTCTCCCCGGGAGACCTCCTCGGCCGGCGCCTGCTTGGCCTGGATAGGCCGAAACCTGGATACCACGTTCGCCTGTCTTTCATATTCCGGCACCCGCTTCAACCCTTCATCCATTGCACTCAATCTCGCCTCCGCGGTACCCCCCGTTGCAGCAACGGCCGCTGCTGCCGTCACTATCTCGCCTTCTCCCCACCGATTGAACCTTGCGCCTAGGATTCTCCCCATGATGATGCTGTCTTAACGCCGAAGATCTGCAAACGGACGATGGATCGCAAAGCTTTCGCCCGGAAGATTCTCCCAGGTTGTCTCGCTTTCTGGTAATGGTGCGCTCCGCCGTATCTGGCATTCTTCCTACCAGCGGTTTCCCAAAGCCCTATTGTCTTTATATCACCGAGGCAACACGGTAATGCTTGTCTGAGAGGGCCCCCTCCCCCCTTTTCGGACGGCCTCGACCAGCCCATGCGCAGGAACTGACACCGCAACCCTATCCTGAGCGACCTTCAACCGCTCTGCCCCCCCGCTTCCTCCGATTCCATCGTCGCAAGTGCGCGTTTGAACAAACGTCGTATTAGACTTTCTTTTTCTCCACTGTCCATGCTGCAGCAGGCAAAGGGGTAACCCTGCCATTTGGCTCAGCTCACCCGGACGATAGCTTCCAACACCGTCATCCCCAGCTTTCCCCTCAATCCTAACAGCAACGTTCCCCAGACCGCCTCTTCGTGTCACTCATTCGTGGCGTTGAGCACCATGTGCACCATTCTTCTCCTCATGCTTGTCATGACAAAGTTGCTCGCCCCTCCCGTCCTTTCCGTAATCCCTTCAAAATACAATAAGCTCGTTCACTCTCCGCTTCCTACTTTCCTGCTCCACGGTTGCAACAGTCGTTTGCGTGCGGGACAAAACACTGATCAACCCCACGTAGATGCAGTGATACACCATGTCTTCCTCTTCACCTCTGCCCCCACCACACCTTCGAAGGCCGCTCGACAGCCAGAGAGGCGCTGGCGGTGAAATGTCCATGATGTTCTTCGTCCAGCCGGATTGCCCCTCCAGATTCGCCCACCAAGACGAGCATCGCATCAGAGGCCTCAACGCCGAGACCATGGCCCGCGTCTTCCTGCCTCCTCCGTCGTGGTTGCTCACTGCGGAATATGCGCCTCTCCGATCGGATACCGACGACTCCGCGACATCCATCTTCTTCAGCCTCAATCTCTCAATTTACAATCAGCCAGTTGTCGCCTCCGAATGGACCGAAGAGTGGTTTTTCATGAATGGCCGCGTCCATCCCTACGCCCTTGCGTGGGAGGTCGAGCAACGAGACGGTCTTGAGTCTGGCGCCGGAGGCATCCTTCTCTACACTATGCCCGCCCTTATCATCCGCGACCAAGGCTACCAGCCGTAAGGACTACCCAATTCCTCCGCGCGCACCTCGAGCACCAAATTTAGCTGAAATGGGCCTCAAGCGTTCTTCCTAGGCTCTTTGCCTCCATGGACAGCTTCCCCCGTATCCCCCCCATCGTTTCCTTCACCGGCCTCATCGTTGGCCCCGGCCACTCCCTGCTACGACAGGACCTTCTGCCAGGTCTGGACGCCACCCAGCTGAGGTGCTGCGGCTTCCTCCAGCTTTCGACCTATATCACTCCCGGGATCCCTGACAAGATCCCTCTCAGGGGCTTCCACCCGTTTCAGGTCTTCGTCATCTTCCCCATCCGCGCCAACCCGTGGGCCATCCTTTGCAAGAAGATGGCCGAGAGGCGGGACTCTCAATTTCAGACTAATATCTCCTTCACCTGCACGGGCAAGGTCGCTGGCCTCCTCGATCACCGCGTCATGGTCCACCAGCCGAGCTCCGACAGAGACTACGTCTTCATCGTCGTCCCGGATTCTTGGACTTTCTCGACAAGACCGCCACCACCGCAGCCGCGTCGGCCTTAGCCCTCACATCGCCACCGAAGCGGCAACCGTCCTCCGCTTCGGCGGCCTTCCAGGATGCCCGCGCTGCCTCTTTCTCTGTCGCTACACCTGGCGCCCTCCCGCCGAGTCCTCCGCCTTCGGCTTCGACTTCGGCTTCGGCCGATCCCGTTACACCGCTGCAGAAGCGTCCTTGTCCCGAGCCCGCCGACACGCCAACGAAGAAACCGCGCCTGTTGCAGCTGGCCTCAAAATCTTCCTCATCGGCCGCCACTGGAAGCTCTGCCACTCAATCGTTCTCGCTTTCCGCTGCCTCTTCTTCCTTCGAGCCGGAGACGATGAGACAGAGTCCTGCCTCGGGAACCGTCTTGGGACCCGCCGTTGATTCGATCGTTGCCTACACGTCAGACTCATCGGCCCGGCCGCTCAGAAACCGCCACCCAGGCAAAGGACAATGGAAACAGAGTAACTGCTTGATATAATAGTCTACCGATATAAGTTACAACATTCACAGAAAAGTGATTCAGTTCCATGCTTTATCTTGCTTCTTAGCAAATATCTACACCGAGCTGCAATCTTACAACACTCCGTCCACAACTTCGGATCTCGTCATCATTCCCTTCCGGACCTTCCTCTCTAGTGATCTTCTCTCGGCACGCATGCCTTTTTGTGAACCTTCCAGTCCGCCTTTTGGTGTTTTTTCCCGCAGTATGCCACTGCATGACATCTGCCGCAGCGACTCACGCCCGCGGTCGTCCCGCATACTTTGCACAACGTGACCTCCGTGCAACCAGTGCGTCCTAAGAACCCGTCGCGTGTTTCGTGCTCTTGCCGCATTTCCCCCATCATCAGTTGCATTTCCTGTCTCATTTCCACCTCGCACTGCCCGCTTCCGCATAAAGATGTGACCCAAACTATAATGCGAGCTTCGTCCGCGTGCAGCAAAGATATTGGACTCTGTAGGATATCTGTCGCAAACCGCCCGCAGCATTCGCAGAAAGCCCCCGACGCGCTGCGACATGCTGATTCATGCTCCTTCATGAGAGGCATCATGGCCTGTGCAAATTGTTCCTTGTATTCAGCATCCTCTCCGGCGCGGTTTGCGCCGGTGATGAGGCTCCGGGCAATGCCGTGGCTGCGTATGAATTGCTTGGCACCGATTTGGCACATGAATTCGAATCGAACCGTGGACGTTGCCATAACTGACTTGGCCGTGATTTAGATGCTATGGGTGATAATGCGTAGGTAGGTACGTATGATGAGAAGGACGGGGAAAAGCCCGTGGCTCGGGATCGGATTCTACTTGTCCGATCTATTGTATCGGCTCTTCCACCCATCCCTTCTCACCTTCGCCTTGCTTTTCTTGACACGTTGTGCTGCATGACACGTTGGCGCGCGCTCCCAAGGCCTCTACGTTTCGCCCCCAACCGGCCGTCGCGCAATGCAAGCTACTGCGGGACGGAATTGCCGGTTACCTAGTGCCGCAACCACCACAAAAACCTTCAAATAGATGACTCCCTCTCCAACGTCATCTCATCCAACGTCATTTCATGTTAACTCAATCCTCCAACTTTCGTTCCGAAAGGCTCTTTGCGCAACCCCCGTTGGGTTGCCTCTCCTGTCGTCTTGAACGATTGCTTTTCGGTTGGCCTACAAGTTTGCCCCTGTTTTTCCCCCCTCTTTTGTGTCCTTTTTCATCCCGCTTTCCTGTTGGCCATATATGAAAGTCGTCGCCTCTCCCCCCCCCTTTTTTTTCTCGTCTTAGTCACTCTTTTTTATTTACGTCAGCTGTTCCACTGTTCCGCTCCCGCTCAAATTGCGCTTTCCGATTAGCCAGACAATTGCACCGTTTCCCGCGTCTAACGTCCGATGTCATTTCATTCATATTTGTGCCTGTCGAAGGGTTCACTATTCCTACGCGTATTCGAAGTCGTCGCCGAGCCAGCGCAGCGCCTCCCGGACGGTTCTGTCACTCAGTTCCTCGAGCCTCGCTTGTGCGGCCGTCATCTCCCGGGGGACCCGGTTTCCCACGAAGTCTCTCTCTCGCACCTCCGATATGAGCATGATGCCGTCTAGCGTCGGACACCGCGATAGCTGCACGTATAGGCTGTAAGGGTCGCACTGCGAGGGACGGCACGTCCACCGACGTTTGTCGTCCTCGTCCTCGCAGCTCGAGCGCGACACGCTCGAGCGTCCCGCCCTGCACCTTATAATCGGTGCACGCGAAGGCCGCGGCGCACGGCAGGCCCTTGCGGGTGACCTCCTTCTGCTGCCACGGTCGCTTCCGGTGACACTGGATCCTGACGCTCATAGGCGTCAGCAGGATCGTGCCGGGCGGCATCCCGACGAAGTGGAAGTCCTTAGTCGTCTCCGACCCTAGTATGATCGCCGCCGGCGGCCCGAAGTGGATCGCCATATCGGCCGAGATGCGATGCGCCGGGTGCACCTTGTCGACGATGACCTCGGCCGCCGTGTAGCTGGCGCCGTTCACCAGCTTCAGCCCCTGGTGGGTGTTGTGGTTCACGACGACCGGCATCCCGGCCACAAACATAAAGACGCCCGGCACTGGGGTCGCGCTGTCGTCGCCCTGGTTTAGCATCATGATGGCCTCTTCCTCGGTCGGCAGCCCCTCCTTCCACTTATGCTCGGAGATGAAGATGCGTATCGTCAAACGTCGTTGCATCTGGAATGCTAAGCTCGCCTCCATGTTGAGATTCCACCGGTTCCTATTTAGCGGCGTGACCACGGTGATGCCTGTCTCCCACGGGATTCGCCTGCCTTCCCGGTAGCATCTTGAGTTAAGGAGGTCTAGGTCGGTGTGATCCTGCACGCCCAGTCGGATCCGCTTTAGCAGCCTCTGCAGCTCCGGGTCGCCGGCGGCGCGCATCTGCTCGTCCAGCATGACGACAGTGGTGAACCGCTTTCACAGCGCGTGCGCCTTGTCGTGCTGGTGGCGCTGCTCGGCCCTGAACGAGTAGTCCTCGTCCCACGAGACGGCCGAGCTCGGCAGTAGGATCGACCTTTCCTGGACCGGGCGGAACTGGTGGAAGTCCCCGCAGAAGAGGACGATGGGGATCCCGCCGAAGTCCCGCTGCGACCCCCGCAGCTGGCAGAGCCGCTCGTTGACGGCGTGCAGCGTGCGCGCGCCGAGCATGCTTACCTCGTCGATGACGAGCACCTCCTTGTCCTGCCAGTCCATGCGGGACTCGCCGTCGACGAACCGCTCCGCCTGCCTCGGCAGCCGTACGCCGTCGACCTCCTCGCCGTGTTCGCGCCCGGCCCTTGGTCCTGGTGAAGCCGCAGGCGGAGTGGATGGTGATACCGTTGACCCGGGCCGCCGCGGTCCCCGACGTCGCCGTGATCAGCAGCCGGCTCGAGATGCCCTTAGCGGCAAAGAGGCCGACGAGTGCTTCGATGACGCGCGACTTGCCGGTACCGCCCTCGCCGCCGACGAACTGACAGAGCTGGCTGACGTCGCCCCCTCCGTCTCCTCGCCGCATCAAGTCAAGGTGGCGGCATATTATGGACAAGGCGATGGCCTGTTTCCTGTTTAGCGTCAAGCGTCTCGTCAAGCCTTTTCCGGCCTCGAGGAACGAGGTCGACGGGCCGAGGCGGACTTCCATGCCGGCCTCGGCGTTACCGCCGTCTCCTCGGCTTCCGCCGCCGTTATCTGCACGCCTTCCTCGCCGAAGCCGGTCAGCACACTCCGCTCCGCCGCGCCACGATCGGTGCCGTGGGCCGTGGCCATGCTTTGTATACCCTGTATCATCTTCACCTCTCCCTCGAGGCGCTCGTCTGCTGCGACTTGATGGCCTTGACCTGGTCCTGCGGCGGCACCGCGGCCCCGGAAAAGACCCGCCCCGGCAAGTCGATGCGCCTCCGCCCCGTTCCTGACGATGGAGGCCTCGAGCTCGGCGGTCGAGGCCAGCGCTGACTGCTGGAAGCGGCACAGCTGCTGTATCATACCCGAGCTCGCGCGATCCCGCCGTGATCTGGTTCGCCCCGGCCGCGCTTCGGACGACGTCGATTAGTCGCGTTGCCTTTCCGCCGTTGTCGGCCTGGTACGCCGAGGCCGCGTCGTCGTCCCCCGGGTGTCGCCCCCCCCCCCCCCCCCCCCCCGCCTCGCCGAGAGCGCCGGCGCAATCCCCGGCGCCGCCCGAGGCCGCCCACTGCTTGGCGTCTCGCCTCGCGTCCTCGGCGGACCGCCGGAGCAGTTGAACGTTGTCGACGAGGCACGAGATTCTCGGCGGAAGCAGCTCGCGCCCGCCTCCATATCTCATTGATGTCCCTTCTTCTTCGCCGAGAAAGGCTTCCACGGCACAAATAGCGCAAGATGCTGGACGGCAGCCCTGCGACGGCACAATAAGTGTAAGTCAGCCAGCCCCCCGCGGCGTCGCAACCCCCCCTCTCTTCACTCGGCCACTTTGCCCGCCCGCACTTACCTGCGATGAGCCGATTCCTCGTCGTCCTGCTCGAAATCCTTGCTTAGGTAGCCGTCGAGGCAGACGACGGCGTACTTTCCGGCCGCCTTAGCACCTGGACCCAGTCTTTACCGGCCACCCAGCCGCTCTCGAACGGCACCTCTCCCCAGCCGCCGGAGCAGCCGGCCTTGCCGACGCGTTGGAGCCTGACGAGCGAAACATAGTCGTATAGGCACAAGCCTCGTAGGACATGTCCGCGATGATGATAGGCCTCGGCGAAACTGATCCTCTCGCCTGCTTGTTCGACGACGACCGACTCGTCCGCGACGGACACGTCTTCGACCGCCGCGGTGCCGCTCTGCTGCCGAAGGTGTCGCCAGAGCCTCGAGACGTGCCAGTATAGCACCGACACGTTCAGGTACGCCCAGGCGCTGCTTCCCGAGAACTCGCTCGGGTGTCCCAGCAGATGGGCGACGACCTCGACTTGCGACAGCGCCCGCTCCGTGAACACCCGATTCGCCACTCTCATGAGAAACTGCCGCGTCTTGTTTTTCCTTCCATCGCCGTCGCCGACGACGCCGCTACTTACGTCATCCCCGGCACCCGGCTGACTACCGGCCGACACGACGGGCAGCAGTTCGGCGGCGGCGGCGACGCGCTTCCACGTCGGGTCCTCCACCTTAGTCGCGTAATTGGTCACGTAGTAGACGAGCGCCATGGTCTTCCGCTGCGTCGCTATAAAGGAAATGTCGTGGTTGTGACGGAGCCCGACGGCGATGGCCTTGTTCCACCGGTTCACCATGGGATGTGTTCTGCGGATCCGCAGCACGCCGTCCGCTGACAGGGTCGTCTCCTCGACCCGCTCCCACGGTGCCTTAAAGCGACAGAGGTCGGCGCCCTTCCGCCCCTTGCTGCCGAGGAGTACTTGACGCATGTCGGGCTGTGGGTATGGATCTGGGTCGCGCCGGCGCAGAAGTTGGCTTCCTCCTCGAACGAGGCCGAGAACTGATCGGCCCTGTTCAGCAGGGACGAGATATCGGACGTCACCGAACGCTCTGCCTCGACGGCGCAGAACCCTTCCTGGTCCAGGTCCTAGTTTCCCCGCGTCAGCCCGCGTCCTCTTCTCCCACGACTATTTCGTACGACGCCCCCGCCGTTCCTTACCTCGCTGAAGACACTATCGACGTAGCGGACGATTCGCTCGCGGTATGCCGCTTGTTCCCCGCCGTCTGAGTCGGCAAGCATCGAGCTGAGGTGGGCGTTTCCCTCGAGCCAGAGCAGCCCGTGCACGTGGAGGGAGCCTCGCTCGTTCGTTTCCACGGCGCCATAATACTGGCTGACGCGGCCGAAGACCGACTCCCCCCCGGCATTGACGTAATGCTCGAAGAACAGCGTCATCTCGCGGTGGAAGAAGACGGCCGAGCTCATCGGGTCGGACACGGACAGCCGCACACGTTTGAACGCCTTATCGAGGCTTCGTAGGAACTCCTCGGCCGCTTCGGGGTCGCGCGCGCGGTACGCTGCTAGTCGGAGCTTTACCGGATTCGTGATGTCGTTTGGGTTGATCGTGAACCAGATGGCGGGCACGCCGTAACGGACGATGAGCGCCAGGATCCTATGCCGCATCCCGAGACGGACCTCCCTCGACATGGGCTGACGATACCCATACAGCGAAAGGCTCCTGAGCAGCTCCTTCACCGCATCATCGGTCGTCTTGCCTGTGCTCTCTAGCTCGGCCCTGGCCGCCGCCAATCCGTCCGCGGTTAGCGACCGTACGATGCGCTCCACCTTGCGGAAGTTCTTCCTCGTCACGCTTAGCATGCTGACGCGGCGGTTCCTCGACCGCACGCCTATATTAAAGACGAGGAAGGCGAAGATGTGGTGCGTCGCGAACCGGCCACCGTGGCGTCGTAACACCGTGTCGGCCCAGGTCCGAAGGCTCATGTTCCGAGACGACACGAGCTCTCGCGTCGCGGCCTCCCGCTCGCGTATGTCGGCGGTGCCTCTGCCTAGTTGTACGGCTGCTTCTTCGACCGGTCGCGGCCCTCCGACGCCAAATGGCAACAGCGTGGGAAAGGTCTTCGCGAAAAGGAGGCTTCGAACGAGTCGGCGAAGTCATCGCCGCGGCGAACGCCTATATACGGTTCGGAACCATCGGCGTGCCCTGGCTGCCCCCTTGCCGAGGTTTCCACCCACGTCCTCGGACCCGCGCCGCCGTCGTCGCCCGCCCCTTCGCGGACGGCATCACATGCGAAGCGCAATTTATCCACGTCGGCGACGTCGGGCGGCCCGTCTAACGCAAACATTCCCGACGAGGTTACCTCGTTGATCGTCTCCGCATCGTGATTAGCCTCGTCGCCGCTCTGACCACGCGCCTCGTCTACCTCGATTGACTCTGGCTCGTCGTCCTCGAGAATCGTCGCGCTTCCTCCCCCTTGGTTGAGCAGAGACAGGACTTCTTCGATCTCTACCGCGCCCTCGTCGTCCATGGCCCGCTCCGTGGGCGGCACGATATGCGCCGTCCGCGTCTTCTCCCATGCCGACGGCTCGTTCCGCTCCAGGCGCCCGTACACCGACGGCGGCACCCGTGGGCCGACTCTCCCAGCTCTCCATCTCAGCCGCGTCGATCTCGATCTCGGCATAGTGTGGGTTGTTTCTCTTCAGCCAAACAAGAGCCCTCTCGACAACGCGCCGCCTCACAGACAAGAGACTCGATAGGTCGCTCGGTGTCGGCTTTACCGCCCCCTGCCACGAGATGTGGATCTCGTCCATCACCTGCAGGAGAGGGTGCGGCAGCACTTTCGTCACCAATTCTTGTACATTGTTCGGAAACACCGTGATGTGGCCCTTGACGTGCTTGGGGTACCTCAGCGTCTGCTTCTGGCCGCCCGGGACGCTATACCTCGTGACGAACCCGTAACACGAGTTTAGCGCAATCAGCTTCTCCTCCACTGGCGTGAGCCTTGAGCTCATCAGGAGCATATGCTCACAACCGAGGCGACAATGAAGTTGGGCCGCCGGCGACAGCACCCACGCGCCAGCCCTCGATGACACTCCGCGCAGACCACGATAGACTCGCCCTCACGGAAGCAACTCCGACACGCGAACGGCGAGCCCTCACCCTTAGGGACGGGGCTCGACAGCCACCGATCCCACGGCATCTCCTTAAGCTCCGTCCTCGAACGCTTGCGGTAGCACAGCATACATGCCCGTATCGGCAAGGTGGCCGCATCGTGGAACGCCCGATAAAAACTTCGCACCGTCGATACCTTCCTCTCATGCGGCACTGGTGTGCACCAAGTCTGCTCCTTGGACAGCCTCTCCTTGGCGGCAAATTCGTCTTCCAGGTAACGTAGGACGCTGGCTAGATCTTCCGCCTGTAGCTCACTTCTCCTCTGCCTCCGACGGCCGCCTCGAATACGTTTCTTGGCAGCTCGTCTCGGTCGGGCTCGCCGATCCTCTTTCTCTGCTCCACGGACTCCGAAGATCTCGCTACCGCCTCGACTCGCCTCGGCCGATCCTCCTCTCCCACCGCTGCCCCGCGTGGTGGTCGTGGTAGCAACCGTCCGGGTGATTGTGTATCTCCGGCTCCATCTCCCGGCTCTTTAGGCTCGACTGGCTGAACGAGGGGCTCCCTGACGGCCGTGGACGAAATCCCGACCGCCCCTGCCGGCCGATCCTGCCCTGCCAGGCGTGACGGCCGTGGTAATAACCGCCCGGATGACTGCAGATCTCCTGCTCTGTCTCCTATCGCTTTCGCTTGAATTGGCCGGGCGACGGTGGGTTGCGGCGAGTGCTGGCTTACATTCTCTAGCCGAAATCTTGTTAAACATCGCGCTTGCCCTCCCTTTGAAGAAGCACCATGGACGCGCGTCCTATTATCCCGCGGCCGACTGCCTCGCCGGCTTCCTAGAGGCGTCGCTCTTTCGACTGCTTCTACCCGCTCTCTTCGTGAACCCTCCTCGGACGCCGGCGCCTGCTTCGCCTGGATAGGCCGGAACCTAGGTGCCGGGTCCGCTTGACTTTCGTCGCCCAACACCCGCTTCGGTCCTTCGTCCGTACGCCTCTCACGCACATTTATCGGTGTCGAGCGTCGCGCTCGCCCTCCCTTCAAGGCGGCGCCATTCACGTGCATCGCCTTTTCCCGCAGCCCACCACCTGGCCGACTTCCCCTAGGCAACGCTCTTTTCAATGCATCCCTTGTTCTCTTCGTGAGATCTCCTCGGCCGCCAGCGCCTGCTTCGCCTCGATAGGCCGGACACTGTCGACCGTTGCCGGCCGACCTTTCCTTCCCGGGCTGCTAGAGTATCCCTCGCTCCCCTTCTGCCTCGTCCGCGCCCTATCGTTCCGCTTTCCAGACGTGCCGATCTGCACGCCCTCCGCGATCCCGGCGTGTGATAATCCGGCCTCCTCAGGGGGGGCAGGCGCAGCTCCCGGCGCACTCTCCATCTCTTTGGGTCGGATGGGCCTTGGCGAATGCTGGCTCCCGCCTTCCAATCGAAATCTCATAAGAGCAGGCGCAGGTCCGGCCGTATTCTCCATCTCTTTGGGTCGGATGGGCCTTGGCGAATGCTGGCTCCCGCCTTCCAATCGAAATCTCATAAGAGCAGGCGCAGGTCCGGCCGTATTCTCCATCTCTTTGGATCGGATGGGCCTTGGCGAATGCTGGCTCCCGCCTTCCAGCCGAAATCTCATCACCGTTATCGGTCTTCCAACCCGGCGTTTTCCCCCCACACCACCTGTCCGCTCGACGAGACCTTTCGGCCTCGTCAGTTCGCTACCGCTGGGTCGCCTAACCGTCTCAGAGCCACTTACGGCCACGCCGGACCATCTCCCACTGTCTAGGCCGTCTTCTCGCCCGACTAAGGCTTCCGGAGGACATGGTGCTTCCAGACCTACCGTGGTCGCTGCCCTCCTCTCATCATCCCCAGCCCTCCCCTCCTTGGGCAAGAGGTGCCGGTAGGTGATCGGGTCGTTACCCTCGCGCTGCAACACACCGCCGACGGACGGCACAAGACTCCCTCCACACGGCTTCGCACCCAACCCTTGCATGGCAACGTCCGTCTCCATGCTCACTAGCTTATCATCACCCACGTTTATCGGTGCTGAAAGTCGTGATGGGGCCGCCTTCGAAATGCCATCGTTCAATACTGATTTTCCCTTTGGCCGCCGACCGCCTCGCCGGCTTCTCTTGGGCAACGCTCTTTTAAGCGCTTCCGCTTGTTCTCCTCGCGAGACCTCCTCGACCAGCCCCTGCTTGGCCATGATGGGCCGAAACCTGGATGCCACGTTTGCCTGTCTCTTATATCCCGACACCCGCTTTAGCGAATCATCCATTGCGCTCAATCTCGCCGCAGCGACATTTCTCGTCGCAGCAACGGCCGCTGCTCCCATCACCATTTCACCTTCTCCCTCTACCGACCGAACCTCGCAGCGAGAACTCTCTCCCATGTCGATGCTATCTTAACGCCGCGGCTCTGCACACGGATGATGGACCATAAAAGTTTGCCCCCGGATCTTTCTTCAATATTATCTCGCCTCCTAACAATAATGGTCCGCCGTGTTGGCGTTTTCCTACCAATCCCTTCCTATAACTAAACCCTGTGATCTTTTAGCACTGAGCCGACGCGGCAATGCTTATCCGCGAGCCCCCTTTCTCCCCTTCACCACCCTACCACCGTCCGTCCATCCTTTCCGGACGGCCTCGACCAGCCCATGCATAGGAATACACACCGCAACTCCATCTAAGGCCGCCTTCTACTACTCTGCTCTCCTCCGCATCTTCCGAATCTGTCGTTGCAGGTATGCGTTTCAAGGAACATCAAATTAGACTTTCTTTTCTTCGCTACCTATGCTGCAACGGAAAAGGAATAGCCCTGCCATCTGATTCAGCTCACCCGGCACGATAGCTCCCAAGACAGTCTTCCCTAAATTTCCGTTCCATTCTAACAGGCAACCTTCTCCACACCGCCTCTTCGTGTGGCTTACTCGTTGGCTTACTCGTCCGGTCAAGAGCTATTATGCACCACGCATCCTTATCAAAATTCAAACTTGCCATGGCAAAGCTTCTCGCTCTCCCCACTGGTTCTATAATACCTTGGATTTATAAAAAAGGCCGCTTTATTCTCCACCTCTTACTTCCTTCTTAACGACTTATACCGATCATTTTCTAGGCGCACAAACCACTTATTAGCCAACATAGATATGCACGATGTCTTCCTCGTCACCGCTACCTCCACCACACCTTCGAAAGCCGCTCGATAGCCAGAAAGGCGCGGGTGGTGATATGTCTATGATGTTCTTCGTCCAGCCCGACTGCCCCTCGAGATTTCCCCATCAGGACGAGCATCGCGTTAGAGGTCTCAACGCCGAGACCATTGCCCGCATCTTTTTGCCACCTCCTTCATGGTTGCTCACCGCGGAATATGCGCCGCTCCGATTGGATACCGACGACTCGCCGACATCCATCTTCTTCAGTCTCAATCTCTCTATTTACAACCAGCCTGTTATCGCCTCCGAATGGTCTGAGGAATGGTTTTTATGAACGGCCGCGTCCACCCTACGCCCTTGCCTGGGAGGTTAAGCAGCGCGACGGCCTAGAGTCTGAAACTGGCGACACCCTTATCTACACCATGCCCGCCCTCGTCGTCCGCGACCAGGGTTACCAGCCGTAAGGCGTGCCATTTACCCTAGCGCGTACCGCTCTCGGCTCTCGGGCGAGAGGTCCGGCTGATTTGTCCTCTTAGCATCCTCCTAGACTCTTCGCCTCTATGGATAACTTCCTTGCATCCCGCCTATCGTTTCCTTCACCGGCTTCATCCTTGGCCGGGTCACTCCCTGCTACGACAAGACCTTCTGCCAGACCTAGACGCCGCCCAGCTAAATTGCTGCGGCTTCGTCCAGCTCTCTACGTATCTAGCTCCTGGCATTCCCGACAAGATCCCTTTCAGAGGCTTCCACCAATTCGAGGTCTTCGTTATCTTCCCCATTCACGCTAACCCTGGGCTATACTTCTTTACCTGCACAGGCAAAGTTGCTGGCCTGCTCAGTCACCGCGTCATGATTCATCCCCCAGGCTCCGACCGAGACTATGTCTTTATCGTCGTCCCGGATTCTTGGACTTTTCTCGATAAGGCCACCAGCACTGCGGCTGCCTCGTCCTCGGCTATCTCGACACCACTAAAGGAAAAACCGTCCTCCGCTTCGGCCGCTTTCCGGGATATACTCGCTGCCTCTTACTCCGTGGCAACACCTGGTACCCTCCCGCCAAGTCCTCCACCTTCGGCTTTAATAACTTCTGCTTCAACTTCTACTTTGGCCGACCTAGCTACACCCTCGCAGAAGCGTCCCTGTCCTGACCCTGCCGGCACGCCGACGAAGAGACCGCGCCTGACGACCCCGAAACCTTCGTCTTCTACCGATACTGGGGCTCTGCTACCCGATCCTGCTCCTCTTAGCGGCTTCCCATATTAGCGATCCGGAAACAGCCGGTCAGACTCCTGCCTCGGAGAATGCCTCGGCATCTTCCCTTAATTCAATTGTCGCCTGCACATCAGACTCGCCGACTAGGCCGCTTCGAAACCGTCACCTAAGTAGAAAAACAGCAGAAACGGAATAGCTATATATCTTATCTAGTTATGTGAAATAAAAGTCTGCTAATATATTCTTTATGCAGAGAACAACCCAATTTTACCCTTTGTCTTACTATGTGCTCTTACTTCTCAGCACATATAAAAACCGAACTGCTATATTCCACCACCCTCTACGACCTCGCTTCTAGTCATCGTTTCCTTCCACACTTTCCGTGTCTGTTGAGCCTCTCGGGCACGCACGCCTTCTTGTGAACCTTCCAGTCCGCCTTTTGATGCTCCGTGCCGCAGTATGCCACTGCGTGACATCTACTGCACCGCTTCACTCCACGGTCGTCCCGCATATTTTGCACAGCCTGACCTCCATGCACCTATTGCGTCCTAGAAACTTATCTCGCCTTTCCTCCTCCTGCCGCATTTCCCCCATTACTAGTTGCATTTCCTGTCTCATTTCTACCTCGCACTGCCCTCTTCCACATAACGATGTGACCCAAACCACAATGCGAGCCTCGTCTGCGTGCAGCATCGATATCGGACTCTGTAAGATGTCTGTCGCAAACCGCCCGCAGCATTCGCAGAAAGCACCCGACGCACTGCGACATGCTGATTCGTGCTCCTTCATAAGAGGCATCATGGACTGTGTAAATCGCTCGTTGTATTCAGCATCTCCGCCGGCCCCGTTTGCCTCCGTCACAAGGCTCCGAGGAATGCTATGGTTGTGGATGAGTTGCCTGGCGCCAAATTGGCATATGAACTCGACTCGGACCGTAGACATCGCCATAATTTGTGTTCTAGATGTTTAGATACTCTGTAGTTTTTATGATTAACTGACGCATATGATGCGAAGAACACTAGAACAGCAAGTAGGCCACTCAAGGCCGAATTCTCGACGCCTTATTTTATCCCCTCTTCCTCCATCACTTCTCATCTTCTCCTTGCTTTTATTCACACGTATTGCTGCATGACATGACTGACAGCTTGGCGCCCGATCTTCTTCGCCCCAATCACCCGTCGCGCGATGCAAGCTACTGCGGAAAGATTTTTCCGTGCCAGTGATGCCGCAACCACCACAAAACCTTGAAACATCAAACAGACAGATAAATCCCCTTTTCAGCCTCAAATTTCAACCACAAACTTTCGTTCCTCAAGGCTCTTTGCGCGAGCCCGAGGCGAGCCTTCTCCTGTAGGGTTCCTCCCCGGGGAGAAAAAAAATTCGCCATCGATTTCCCCCCCGCAAATGCCGCCCTCTGATTCGCTGGCGTTCTCGCTTTTGATTCGTCAGTTGTTCTTTTCTCGCTTTTGATTCGTCGATGTTCTCGCTTTTCATTCGTTAATAAATAAAAATGCATAATGCCCTGCCCCTTGCTGCCCTTTTAGTTCCAGCTGCGCAGTTCGCTTCCAACGCCTCCGTAGACCATACGCCGCCGCAGACCACATAGAGGAAGGTGCCCAAGCCGGCCCGGCTTCTAACTCCGCCATAGACCACACGCCTCCACAGACCACCCCCTTCGCCCGTCCTCCTGGCCCTTAACCTACACTCCTTTTACGTCAGAAGTGTGGAAAATGCAGGGCGCCTGCGTTACCTGCGGAGCCAGTCGGCCGCCTCCTGTGTTGTCTGCCTGCTAAGCTCCTCTAGCCGGGCCTGCGCTGCCGTCATCTCCTCAGGCACCCGGTTCCCCACTAGGTCCCGCTCCGCACCTCTGATACGAGCATGATGCCGTCGAGCGTCGGGCACCGCGACAGCTGCACGTATAGGCTATACGGGTCGCACGACGACGGCACCGCCCTCCCCTCGACCGTCGTCATCCTCGCCCCCCGCAGCTCCAGCGCCACGCGCTCCAGCGTCCCGCCCTGCACCTTATAGTCGGTGCAGGCGAAGGCCGCGGCGCACGGCAGGCCCCTCCGGCTGACGTCGTTGCGCTGCCATGGCCGCTTCCGCTGCGCTGTGATCTTGACGCTGATGGGCGTTAGCAGGATCGTCCCGGCAGGCATCCCGACGAAGTGGAAGTCCTTGGTCGTCTCCGAGGCCAGCACGATGCCCGCCGGCGGCCGAAGTGCATGATGAGCTCCGCCGAGACGCGGTGGCCGGGAAGGCGCGGTCGGGGATGACGTCCACCGCCGTGTACCCGGCCCCGTTGCTTAGCCCCTGGTGCGTGTTCTGGTTCACGACGACCGGCATGCCTGGCACGAAGAGGAAGACGGCCGGCACCGGGGTCGCGCTGTCGTCGCCCTGGCCTAGCATTAGCACCGCCTCCTCTTCCGTCGGCACGCCGTCCCTCCACTTATGCTCGGAGAAGACGCGCGCCGCCGTCCGCCGCCTCTCCCGGAACGCGAGCGCCGCCTCTAGGTTGAGGTTCCAGCGGTTCCGGTTGAGCGGCGTCACCACCGTCAGGCCCGTCTCCCACGGGATCCGCCTGCCCGGCCGGTAGCATCTCGAGTTGAGCAGCTCTAGGTCCGACCGGTCCTGCTCGCCCCGGCGGATCCGCCCGAGCAGCCGCCGCAGCTCCGGGTCGCCGGCGGCCCGCATCTGCTCGTCTAGCATGACGACCGTCGTGAAGCGCCGCCACAGCGCGTGCGCCTTGTCGTGCTGCCGCCGCTGCTCGGCCGCGAACGCCCCGTCCTCGTCCCACGCCACCGCCGCGCTCGGCAGCAGGATCGACCGTTCCTGCACCGGCCGGAACTGGTGGAAGTCGCCGCAGAGGATCACTACCGGGATGCCGCCGAAGTCCCGCGCCGACCCCCGCAGCCGGCAGAGCTGCTCGTTGGCGGCGTGCAGCGTCCGCGCCCCGAGCATGCTGACCTCGTCGATCACCAGCACCTCCTTCTCCTGCCAGTCCATCCGCGACCGGCCGTCGACGAAGCGCTCGCCCTGGCCCGCCAGCCGTACGCCGTCAATGTCCCTCGTCGCCCTCCCGCCCGGCCGCCCTGGCCGACCGTAAGGCCGCAGGCCGAGTGCAGCGTGATGCCGTTGATCCGCGCTGCCGCCGTCCCCGACGTCGCCGTAACCAGCAGCCGGCTCGATAGGTCCCTCCGGGCGAGCAGCTCGACGAGCGCCTCGATGACGCGCGACTTGCCGGTGCCGCCCTCGCCGCCGATGAATAGGCAGAGCTGGCCACCACCGTCGCCGCCTGCGTCGTCGCCCTGCCGGATTCGGTCGAGTTGCCGGCACACGATTAGGAGGGCGATGGCCTGCTTCTCGTTGAGCGTGAGCTGGCCCGCCAGCTCCTGCCGGCGGCGACGAACGAGCTCGACGGGCCGAGCCGCACGCGCATCCCCGCCGCCGTGCCTGCGTCTGCGTCGCCGTCGGCCGCCGTTACGTCGATGTCGTCCTCGCCGAAGCCCCCCATCACCCCGCGAAGGGCCGCGCCGCGGTCGGCCCCGACGCCCGCCGCCGCCCCGCCGCCCTGGATGCCCTGGATCGCCCGCTCCCGCTCCCGCGCCGCGCTCCTCTGCTGCGACTTGATGGCCCGCACCTCTTCTTGCCGCGGCAGTGCCGCCCCGACAGCGCCGAGCCCGGTAGGTTCACCCGCCTGCCTGCCCTCTCGTCCGCCACCACCGTCGCCGCGAGCTCGGCCGCCGACCCGAGCGCCGACTGCTGGAACCGGCAGAGCTGCTGCGTCATCGCTAGCAGCTCTGTTGACTGCGCCGTGACTTGTCCCGCGCTGGCGGCGTTCGGACGACGTCGATGAGCCGAGCCGCGTCGCCCGCCCCGCCGGCGCGGTATGCCTCCTCGCCCCCTTCGGCCGCCCCCCTGCCTTCGTCGTCGGCCTGCGGCGCCGTCATACCGCCCTCCTCGGCCGTGGCGGCCACTGCTTGGCGTCGCGCTTCGCGTCCTCCGCCGACCGCCGGAGGAGCTGCACGTTGTCTGCGAGCCGCGCGACCCTCGGCGCCAGCGACTCCGCGCCCGTGCCCAGATGTTGTTAATGTCGCCTGCCTCCTCGCCGAGGAAGGACTCCCACGGCACGAATAGGGCCAGGTGCTGCACCGCCGCCCTAGATGCTGTTAGCCGATGCCCCTAGCTGCTCTGCCTTCCTCTTAGGCGCCCCCCGTCTTATAGTACGCACCTCCGGTGGCACGACTCGTCGTCTTCCTCGCTGAACTCCTTGCTGAGGTATCCGTCGACGCATACAGTCGCCCCGCAACCCGGCCGCCTAAGCGCCTGCACCCAGCCCTTCCCCGACGCCCAGCTCTCCGCGAAGGGTACCTCACCCCAGCCCGCCATACCGTCGGCGCCGCTGCCGTTTTGCTTTAACCTTACAAGCGATGCGTAGTCATAAAGGCAGAGGCCCGCAGGAGCTCGCCCCGGTGCTGGTACGCCTCAACGTGGGGATCCTCAGGCCAGCCTCCTCGACGACGACCGTCTCGTCCGGCGCGTCGCCCGTCGCCTCGGCGCCGCTCGCCCGTCGGAGGTGCCGCCACCGGCGGAAGACGGCCCAGTAGAGCTGGTTTGCGTTTATATACGCCCACGCTGAGCCGCTGCTAAACTCCGCCGGGTACCCTAGGAGGTGCGCGATCACCTCGACCTGCGACAGCGGCCGCTCCGTAAAGACTCGATTCGCCGCCTTAAGCAGGAACGTTCTCGTCTTATTCCCCTACGGGGTCCGCCGCCGTCGCTACCCCTTCGGCCCCGCCCTCCCGGCCGGCGTCGCGGTCGGCGCCACTTCTGTTGCCCTCTCCCGTCGGCTCTAGCACAGGAAGGAACTCGGCCGCGGCGGCACACGCTTCCACACCGGGTCCTCTACCTTCGTCGCATAGTTAGTAATATAGTAGATTAGGGCCATGGTCTTGCGCTGCGTCGCGATGAACGAGATGTCGTGGTTGTGTCGTAGCCCCACTGCCATCGCCCTGTTCCACCGGTTCACCATGCTATGCGTCCGCCGGATCTCGAGCACCCCGTCCGCCGTCAGCGCCGTCCTCTCCACCAACCTCCACGGCGCCTTAAACCGGCAGAGGTCCCCTTCCGCGCCCCACGCCGAGCGAGTATTTTACGCAGGTCGCGCTATGCGTATGGATCTGCGTCGCGCCCGCGCAGAAGTTGGCCTCCTCGTCGAAGGTGTCCGTGAAGCGCGCGACGTCGTCGAGCCGCGACGATATGTCCGCCGTGGCCGACCGCTCTGCCTGCATGGCACAGTAACCTTCTGCGTCTAGCTCCTGCGGCCTCGGTTCAGCTTAGGCCCCTCAGCCTGACCCAGATAGGGGGCATCGGGGGGGGGGGGGGTTTGTGTTAAGGCGGCCGCCTTACCTCAGAGAAGACGCTATCTACGTAGCGGACGATGCGCTCCCGGTACGCCGCCTGCTCCTCCGCGTCCGGGCCGGCGAGCGCGTCGCCAATGCCCGCGTTGCCCCTTAGCCAGAGGAGCCCGTGGATGTGGAGGGCGCCTCGCTCGTTGGTCTCTACCGCCCCGTAGTATGCGCCGACGTGGCCGAACACCGACTCCTCACCGACGTTGACGTAGTGCTCGAAGAAGAGCGTCATCTCCCGGTGGAAGAAGACGGCCGAGCTCATCGGGTCCGATATGGCCAGCCGCGTCCGCTTATACGCGGTCCCTAGGTCACTTAGGAAGGCCTCGGCCTCGTCGGGGTCGCGGCCGCGGTGCGCCGCTAGCCGTAACTTTACTAGGTTCGTAATGTCGTTCGGGTTCAGCGTGAACCAGATAGCCGGCACCCCGTACCTAACGATGAGGATAGTATCTTCTTCCGCATACTAAGGCGGCTCTCCTCGACATTGGCTGCCGGTAGCCGAACACGGAGAGGGACCGGAGGAGCTCTTACCCCGTCGTCGCTAGTCTTACCTGTGGCCTCGAGCTCGGCCTGGCCGCCTCGAGCCTCTGCGCCGTTAACGACTTTAGTAGGCCCTCGACCCTTGCGAAGTTCTTCCTCGCTACGCCTAGCATGCTGGCCTGGCGGTTCTTAGACCGCACGCCCATGTTAAAGACAAGGAAGGCGAAGATAGGGTGCGTCGCGAACCGGCCGCCGTGACGCCGCAGCACGACGTCGGCCCATGCCTGGAGCTTCATGTTCCGCGTCGACATAAGGCCCTCTGCAACCCGCTCCGCCTGGGCGCCCTGGTTCCCGACGCTGGGCCCGCGCTCTCCCGCGGCGTCCTCGTCGGCGAGCCTCGGCCCGCCTAAGCCAAGGGAACAGGGTCGGAAGGCCTTTGCAGAAGGAGGCGTCCGCCGAGTCGGCGAAATCCTCGCCGCGTCGCACCTGTATGTACGGCTCGCCGTCGCCGCCGTCGCCCGCCGCCCTCTGGCCGCCGTCCCTACCCACGTCCTCGGGCTGGCGCGCGCTCCCTCGGGCCCGACCGCGTCGCGGGCGAAGCGAATCTTCTCGGCGTCGGCCACATCTGGCGCCCCATCTAACGGGAACATGCCGGAAGACGTTACCTCATTGATTACGTCCCCGTCCTCTTCGGGCCTAGCGCCGTCCCTGTCGTCGTCCTCGCACGTGAGCCCGACGTCGCGGCTCCCCTCGGCGGGGTCCTGGCCCTGCCTTAGCATCGCGAGGACCTCCTCGATCTCGGCCGCGCCTCCGTCGTCCATGGCCCGCTCCGACGGCGGCACCACCTGCGCCGTCTGCGTCCTCTCCCGCGCCGACGGCTCGTTTCGCTCCAGCCGCTCGCACACCACCGGCGGCACCCCGTGCGGCGGCGCCCCCCAGCTGGCTATCTCCGCCGCGTCGATCTCGACCTCGCCGTAGAGCGGGTTGTTCTCCTGAGCCAGGCCAGCGCCCTCTCGACCGCCGACCGCCTTACCGACAGCAGGCCTGATAGGTCCCGCGGCCCGGGCCTCTCAGCGCCCTGCCACGAGACGTGGATCTCGTCCATGACCCGGACCAGCGGGTGCGGGAGCACCTTGGCAGCCAGGCCCTGCACGTCGTTCGGGAACACCGTGATATGGCCCTTGACGTGCCTCGGGTACCTCACGCTCTGCCTCTGGCCGCCGGGGATGCTATACTTCGTCACGAAGCCGTAGCACGAGTTGAGCGAGATGAGCTTCTCCTCGAGCGGCGTGAGGTCCTTTAGCTCGTCGGGGTACGCGTGCTCGCAGCCGAGCCGCCCATGGAGGTGCATGGCCGGCGACGCCCCCTCACGCCCGGCCCATCGCGCGCACTCTGCGCAGACCGCCACCGGCCTGCCCTCCGGGAAGCAGGCTTGGCACCCGAACGGGGACCGCCCGCCCCCCGCAACACCGCTCCGCGACCACCCCTCCCACCCCTCCCACGCCATCTCCCTCAGCTCCCCCTTGGCCCGCTTCCGGTAGCATAGCGTGCAGGTCGCGATCGGCAGCGTGCCAGCGTCGTGGAACGCCCGGTAGAACTTCCGCACCGTCCTCACCTGCCTCTCGCGCGGCACCGGCGCACACCACGTCTGCTCGTTAGCCAGCCTCTCGCCCGCCTCGAACTCCTCGTCGAGGTGCCGCAGCGCGCTGGCTAGGTCCTCGGCCTGCAGCTCCCTTGGTCTCGGCACCTTTCACCGACCGGGCGCGTTTCCGCTCGGCCTGCCCACTACTAAGATGGCGTTTCCTCTTCTGCTCTTCCTCGCCTGCCGTCTTATCGCCGATCTACCTGCGTCCGGTTAGCTATCACCGCTACACGCCTTTACCTCGCTCTACGACCGTACCTGCCGAGGCGCTATCTCTGCCGCCAACAAGCAGCCCGGCTGCGGCCGGAGTTGTGGCGGGGATCTCGGCCCTGCTGGCCGGCCGGGACTGGATGGCTCGCGGCGAGTGCTGGCTTCCGATCGAGACTACGGCCGAGCTAGTCCCGCTTGACGGCGGCGAAGGGCCGGCGGCCCTCCAAGTCGGTTGTGGCCGAATATCCCGCGGAACGTCCGAACTTCTCGTCGGCGGCGGCGAGGCCCGGCGGCCTCCACCGTCGGCAGAGGCCGGATTTCCCTCGGTGCGCGCTGGCTTTTCCCTGAGGCCGAGACGGCGCTAGGCCCGCCTTGCGGCAGCCGGCGCCCTACCGCCGTCGGTGTCGACAGAGCCTAGATATCCCGCGGCGCGTCCGAACTTCTCGTCGGCGGCGAAGGGCCGGCGGCCCTCCATGTCGGCTGTGGCCGAATGTCCCGCGGAACGTCCGAACTTCTCGTCGGCGGCGGCGAAGGACCGGCGGCCTCTACTGTCGGCAGAGGCCGGATTTCTCTTGGTGCGCGCTGGCTTTTCCCTGAGGCCGAGACGGCGCTGGGCACGCCTTGCGGCAGCCAGTGCCCTGCCGCCCTCGGTGTCGGCGGCAGCCAAGTTGCCGCCGCGCTTGGTGTCGGCCGAGGCTGGATATCCCGCGGCATGACTCGGCCTGCGCTGATCCTCCATCTCCCTAGTCCTGGCGGTCTTCCCCGCCCTCGCCTCGGAGGCGCCTCCCTTGACGCCTCTTCTTGCTCTCTCCGAGGGGCGCCGCTAGCAAGTGCCGGCGCTGCTGTGGTCGGCTGGAACTCTGGTCCTGTGTACGGCGCTGCGCAGGCTTCTGGCGCCGGGCTTGCCCCGTCCCCCGCTCCGGACTGGTCCCTTCCGTTGGCTGGCTTCATTGCGACACCGGTCTACCAAAGCCCCCACGGACGTCTTGTCTTCCTCTTTTGCACCTGCCCTCTTTGGCCCTGCCTACTTATGGTGCCACTAGGCCCCTGGCGTAAATCCTCGTAAGTGTAATAACAGCGTATAAATCCTTGCCTCGATTATTCGCCCTGCACTTATCTTGCTGACTGGCACCCCTCTTGCGCATATAGGATCCTCTACAAAAGTCTATATATCTTACTCGTAGCTCTCTACTATGTCTATATGCGTGCTGCTGCTCTTTGCATTATACCGGCGCCGCCTTTCTATTAAGCCCGCCCGCCATTGCCTGCTGCTATATGCGATAGGCTAGACGGCCTCGGCCGATCCTTATATGTACGTCGCCGCGACGGCTTCTTCTTGCCTATGCTTTGCATGCTACGCTTTTCCTTCTTGTCATCCAGCTCTTATCAGTCAAAGCTTCCGTATGCCCCTAGACACTTGCCCGCTGAAGTTTAAAACCATGTCTTACACGTGTTGCGAATAGGGCTGCCTGCTTCTCCTCGAATATAGCTTCGCGCGTCCTGCTTGTCTTAAAAACTCTCAACATCTTACTAGACCGCCTTTTAAAGTTCTCCCTTCTCTTATTGCACTCTCCTCTATACGCATCTTATAACCCTCTTTTACAAAGGCTCCTTATATAACCTACCACTAACGCCATGTTGCGTCTTTGTTTAGAATCCTTTGACTTCTCTTACACACCATCGCCACTGGCCCTTCTCTTTTACACTAAACTTCCCACCCGGCCCTTGCCGATACGCCCATGAAGAGGGCGCGCTTGCAGCAGCAGAATTCGCCGCCTTCCTCGTCTTCGGACACCGTCAGCTCCGCCCCCTCCTCCTCTCCCCGCCGGCCGCTTCTTCGTCTCGACCGAGCGGCGTCCCGCCCGTTCCGCTCCGGCAGCCAAGCCGGGTTCCCCTCTTGACTCTATTGTCGCGAGCACCTCCGACCCGCCCGCTCGACCTATCCGCTATCGCATGCAGAAATGAGCTGCCTACTATAAACCTATCGCTCTCTTACGCCTCTTGCCTTTACTAAAATAAACCGTTCTCCCTCTCGAGATGCTATTCCTAACGAAACTTATCGCTGCAAAATTACCATTACTCTACACATTACAACGTTTATCTCTTTTTTGAAACAACAACTTTAGCTTGCGACCTATTTCTTACGATAGTGCCTGCCTCTATTTGTTCTCCGTGACCTTGTTTATGTCCTGCGCGTTATGCCTTGTCCCTTTACTTTCCTTCCTCCTCTCCCTAGCTCCCTAGCTTGCCTTTGCCTTGCATCCCTTCTTGTGCACCTTCCAGTCCTCCTTTTGGTGTTGCCTGCTGCAGTACGCCACCGTCAGGCATCGGCTGCACCTCCTCGCCCCCGCCATCTCTCCACAAACCCGGCAGACCTTCCCCTCTGTGCTCTGCGCATCCTGCCCTTGCATTTGCGTCGCGCCCTTGTTTCCGCCCGCCTGCCCCGCCTCTGCCATCTTGTCCTGCATTTCCTGCCTCGTCCTAATTTCGCATCCTTCTTTGCCGCAGAACGACGACACGACCACGAGCACAAACGGCCTCTCTGCGTGTAGGTACGATATCGGGCTCTGTAGAATCTCCTTTGCGAGTCCGCCGCAGCTCTCGCAGCGCACCCCTGCTGCCTTCCGACACGCTGCCTCGTGCTCCCGTAGGATCGGCCTTATCCACTGTAGGAACAGTGCACTGGCTGCGTGGTTCGGCCTCGCCTGGCTACCTGCGTCACGAGCGTCTTCGGGATGCTATGCTTGTACTTCAGCTCCGTGGCCCCGAATTCGCACCAGAACTCCACGGAAACGTTGCAAGTGGCCATGCTGTAGTTGTTTTCCTAACTGCTCGATCGGTAGCTAGGGTAGACGCTTCTGCTCTTGTTCTCCTATTCGTGCCTTGGCGCCCTCTTATGCTCCCTTCCTCTCGCTTACCCCGCAATCGTCATCACCGCTTTACTTGCCTTCTTGCTTTTTCTGCCTCTTCCCCGCGGCGGGATGGTGCCCGAATGGCCGCTTTCTTTACCTACCTTTTTTGCATGTTTTAGTTCCTAGCGCTACCGCCTGCTTGCGTTCTTTCTCTCACCCTGTCTTTGTCTTGTTTGTCTCTCCAATCTTCGGCCTTCGTTCCTCAAGGCTCTTTGCGCAACCCATGAAGGGTTGCCTTACCTGTTAGCGCGCGGGGAAAAAAGGCCCCAGACTGCTTGCCTTGAGGAACGAAAGGACTTCTTAGCGCGCGGGGAAAAAAGGCCCCAAACTGCTTCACCCCCACATCCTCCGCCTCTGATTGGCTGATTTATTTCCTCTTTCGGAATAAAAGATCCCGTGTGATTGGTCGCCGACCCTTCCGTCCCTCCCTCGTCATTGGTCGCTGCCGCCTTCTCTTGCCCCTCTCATGCCTTGCCCTGTTTCCCCCCCCGTTATATTACTCCTGTTTACCCCCTTGCCAATGCCAATGCCAACCTTTTTCCTTTCGTCCGCCGGTTTTCTTATTGTGTCTAAAACTTGCGTCTTTTGTCTTTGCCCTTTTCGTTCATGCCTTTCTAGCGGGTTCTTCCTTCAAGTCTAAAAGTCGCCCTCGTTGATCGCTGCTGCCCAGTGCCCTTGTCTTCTTGCCCGCCGGCGCTCCTCCGTCTTCTCCCCCTCGTCACCTCACCCTGACAACTCTCCTTGACTCTTCAGCGTCGCCATCCGACCGACGCAAAGCTTCCTCGACAGTCCTCTCGCTTAGCACCTCCAGCCTGGCCTGCGCGACGGTCATCTCTTCGGGGACTCGGTTGCCCACCAAGTCTCTCTCCCGCACCTTGGACACGAGCGTGATGCCGTCTAGCGTTCGACAGCGCGATAGCTGCACATATAAGCTGTACGGGTCGCATTGCGAGGGCACGGCCCTTCCATCGACTTTCGTCGTCCGTGTCCCCGCAGCTCCAGGGCCACGCGCTCTGGCGTTCTGCCCTGCACCTTGTAGTCCGTGCAGGCGAAGGCTGCTGCGCACGGCAATCCCTTCCGGCTGACGTCGTTCTGCTGCCACGGCCGCTTTCGTTGGCAGTGTATCCTGACGCTCATCGGCGTTAACAAGATCGTGCCCGGCGGCATCCCGACGAAGTGGAGGTCCTTTGTCGTCGCCGATTCCAGTAATATCCCCGCCGGCGGCCGAAGTGGATCGTCATGTCGGACGAGATTCGATGCCCTGGGGACGCCTTGTCGACAATGACCTCCACCGCCGAGTAGCCGGCGCCGTTCACCAGCTTCAGCCCCTGATGGGTGTTGTGGTTCACGACGACCGGCATCCCGGCCACGAACATGAAGACGGCCGGCACGGGGATCGCGCTATCGTCGCCTTGATTGAGTACCATGATCGCTTCTTCCTCGGTCGGCAGGCCCTCCTTCCACTTGTGCTCGGAGATGAAGATGCGCATCGTCGACCGCTGCTGGACCCGGAACGCCAAGCTTGCCTCCATGTTTAGGTTCCACCGATTCCTGTTCAGCGGCGTCACCACGGTGATGCCAGTCTCCCAAGGGATCCGCCTGCCCTCGCGGTAGCACCTGAGTTGAGGAGGTCCAGATCCGTGCGGTCCTGCACACCCTGCCGGATCCGCTTCAGCAGCCCCTGCAATTCCGGATCACCGGCGGCGCGCATTTGCTCGTTCAACATGACGACCGTCGTGAATCTCTTCCACAGCGCGTGCGCTTTGTCGTGCTGGTGCCGCTGCTCGGCCTTGAACGAGTTGTCTACGTCCCACGAGATGGCCGCGCTCGGCAGGACGATCGACCTCTCTTGGACCGGCCGGAACTGCTGAAAGTCTCCGCAGAAGAGGACGATGGGGATCCCCGAAATCTTTCTGCGATCCGCGAAGCCGACAGAGTCGCTCGTTTATGGCGTGCAGCGTCCGCGCTCCGAGCATGCTCACCTCGTCGATGACAAGCACGTCCTTCTCCTGCCAGTCCATCCGAGACTGGCCGTGGATGAACCGCTCCGCCCGTTTTGTCAGCCGCACCCCGTCAAGGTCCTTGGCTGTGTTCGCGCCGCCCGCCCCTTGGTCTTTAGTGAACCCGCAGGCGGGTGGATCGTGATGCCGTTGATCTGCGCCGCGGCAGTCTGACGTCGCCGTGATCAGCAGACGATTCGAAAGGCTCTTCCCACTGAACAGCTCGACGAGTGCCCCAATGATCCGCGACTTGCCGGTGCCCCCTCGCCGCCGACGAACTGGCAGAGCTGGCCGGCATCGCCCTATTCGTTTGTCGCATCAAATCGAGCTGGCGGCATATTATTAGGAAAGCGATCGACTGCCTCTTGTTCAGCGTTAGCCGTGTTGACAACTCCTTGCCCGCCGCGAAGAAGGAGGTCGATGGGCCAAGCTGGACGCGCATTCCCGCTTCTGCGTCGCTAGCCGTCTCGTCGGAGTCGGCTGTCGTCATTTCGACGTCGTCCTCCCGAAGCCGGTCATCACCCTCCGCAACGCAGCTCGGCGATCGCTTTCCCGGACTGCGACTGTGGTTTGTACGCCTTGGATCATTCTCTCCTTTCCTCGACGCACTTATCTGCTGCGACTTGATAGCCTTGACCTGATCCTGCGGCGGTAGTGCGGCCCCGGAAAATACCCGCCCTGGCATGCTTATGCACCTCAACCCTTGTTCGGGAATCGCGATGGCCTCGAGCTCGGCCGTTGAGCAGAGCGCCGATTGCTGGAATCGACAGAGCTGCCGCATCATTGCCATGAGCTCCGGCGACTTGGCCGTCACCTGATTCGTGCCCACTGCGCCTCGGACGACGTCGATCAGGCGCGTTGCGTCTCCGATGTTGTTGGACCGATACGTCGCTGCAAATTCTGCGCCCGCCTCGCCTGTCTCGCCCTCCTCGACGTGGGCGACCGTGGAATCGCCATCGCCGGATGAGGCCGCCCATTGCTTGGCGTCGCGCTTTGCGTCTTCGGCTGATCGTCGAAGCAGCTGCACGTTGTCGACGAGACATGATATTCTCGGGGCCAGCGCCTCTCGCGCCCGCTCCCAGATGCTATTGATCTCACCTGTTTCTTCGCACAGAAAGGACTCCACGGCACAAATAGCGCAAGATGCTGCACGGCTGCCCTTTAAGGGGAGGGGAGGTTAGCCACTCTGATGATGCCTGCCGGCAGGGCGGTTGCTATACACACCTCCGGTGGCACGACTCCTCGTCGTCGTTGTGGCCGAAGTCCTTGCTCAGGTAGCCATCGAGGCAGACGGTAGCATGCTTGCCCGGCCGCCTGAGCACCTGGACCCAGCGTCTCCCTGGCGCCCATCCATCCTCGAAGGGCACCTCCCCCCAGGCCGCACAGCTCTCATCCTTACTGGTGCGTTTTAGTCTAACGAGCGATATGTAGTCGTATAAGCATAGCCCTCGCAGGAGCTCTCCCCGGTGCTGGTACGCCTCAACGTGGGAGATCCTCAGGCCTGCTTCTTCGACAACGACCGACTCATCCAGAGTATCATCTATGGCCGCCGCGCCACTTGCTCGTCGGAGATACGGCCACCGTCGAAAGACTTCCCAGTACAGCAGAGATGTGTTCAGGTACGCCCAGGCGCTGCTGTTGGTGAACTCGGCCGGATATCCAAGAAGATGAGCGACGACCTCGACCTGAGATAGCGGACGCTCCGTGAACACACGATTCGCCACCCTCATCAAGAACTGTCGCGTCCTGTTCCCTTGGCGGCGTCATCGCCAACAGCACCTCCACCGTCGTCCTGTCCTCCGTTGGCCGTGCCGTCACCCGTTGAGGCGGCCAGGAGATCGGCCGCGGCCGCCACACGCTTCCACACCGGGTCCTCCACCTTCGTCGCGTAGTTCGTGACATAATACATAAGGGCCATGGTCTTGCGCTGCGTCGCAATGAAGGAAATGTCGTGGTTGTGCCGGAGCCCAACAGCGATAGCCTTGTTCCATCGATTGACCATGCTGTGAGTCCTCCGGATCTGCAACACCCCGTCTGCCGTGATGGCGGTCTTGTCGACCAACCTCCATGGAGACTTAAACCGGCATGGATTCCCTTTCCGCGCTCCTTTGCCCAAGGAATACTTGACACAGGTCGGGCTATGCGTGTGAACCTGTGTAGCGCCGGCACAGAAGTTGGCCTCCTCGTCAAATGCGGCCGAAAACTGCTCGGTGTTGTCCAGCAGGGAGGAAATATCGGACGTCACAGATCGCTCCGCTTGCACGGCGCAGAACCCTTCCTGATCCAGATCCTATCTTGCACGTCAGCCTGGCCCCGTTTGTCCATCGGACGAGCAATTCAGGTTCTCAGTGACACGTCTTAGCTATTCTTACCTCGGAGAAGACACTATCGACGTATCGTATGATTCGCTCGCGATACGCCGCCTGATCCTCCCCGTGGATGTCGGCAAGCATCGAGCTGAGATGCGCGTTTCCGTGCAACCAGAGCAAGCCGTGAACATGAAGCGCCCCTCGTTCGTTGGTCTCCACAGCGCCATAGTACTTGCCGATGCGCCCGAATACCGACTCTTCTCCGACCTTCACGTAATGATCGAAGAAGAGCTTCATCTCCCGGTGGAAGAATACGGCGGCGCTCATCGGATCGGACATGGCCAGCCTTGTCCGCTTGTACGCACTCCCAAGGCCTTCTAGGAACTCCTCGGCCGCGCCGGGATCGCGTGTCCGATATGCCGCCAGTCGCAGCTTCACCGGGTTCGTAATGTCGTTTGGGTTGATGGTGAACCAGATGGCCGGAACGCCGTAGCCAACGATGAGCGACTGGATTTTCCGCCGCATATTGAGCCGAACCTCTCGACATGGGTTGCCGGTGGCCGTACAGCGAGAGGCTCCTGAGAAGCTCCTTCACGCCCTCATCGGTCGTCTTGCCCGAGCTCTCCAACTCGACCCTCGCCGCCGCTAACCTTTGCGCGGTCATCGAGCGGGCAACGCGCTCGACCTTGCCGAAGTCCTTCCTCGCCACACTCAGCATGCTGACGCGGCGGTTCCTCGACCGCACCCCCATGTTGAAGACGAGAAATGCAAATATGTGGTGCAACGCAAACCGGCCACCATGGCGCCGGAGCACGATGTCGGCCCAAATCCGGAGGTTCAAGCTTCGGGAGGATACGATGTCTCCCGCAGCCGCCCCTGCCTCAACAGCTCTACCGGTGCCTCGCAAGTTGGTAGGGCCTTCCCGCCTCGGCTATGGCCTCTTCGGCCAGCCTTGGTCCCCAACGCCAAATGGGAACAGGGTCGGGAACGTTCTGGCGAAGAAGGACGTCTCAAAGGAGTCGGCAAACTCATCCCCCCGCGAGACTCGAATGTATGGCTCACTGCCATCGTCGCCACGCCCTCGAGCCCCCCCCACCGAGGATCCGACCCACGTTCTCGGGCCCGCGCGGCCGTCGGCACCTGCGCCAACAGCGTCACAGGCAAACCGCAGCTTCTCGACATCCGCCACGTCTGGCGGTCCGTCCAGCCCGAACATGCCGGAAGACGTCACCTCGTTGATTGGTCGAACGTTCTGATCGGGGCTAGCACCAACTCCATCACGACCCGCGCCTTCTTCGTTGGGCCCGTGCCCTTCAGCCTCGCCTCCCGTTTCCTGCCTTTGGTTGAGCAGAGCGAAGAGTTCCTCGATCTCCACCGACCCCTCGTCGTCCATGGCGCGCTCCGTGGGCGGCACAACGTGCGCCGTCCGCGTTTTCTCCCATGCGGACGGCTCGTTCCGCTCCATGCGATCATACACCAAGGCCGGCACCCCGTCTATCGGGTCTCCCAACTCTCCATCTCCGCCACGTCGATCTCGATCTCGGCGTAGTGGGGGTTGCTCCTCTTCAGCCAAACAAGAGCCCTCTCGACGACCCGCCGCCTCACCGACAAGAGACTCGACAGGTCGCTCGGTGCCGGCTTCTCCACGCCCTGCCACGAAACGTGGATCTCGTCCAGTGCTTGCAAAAGGGGGTGCGGGAGCACCTTGGTCGCCAGCTCCTGCACGTTGTTGGGAAACACTGTGATGTGGCCCTTGACGTGCCTCGGATACCTCACGGCCTGCCTCTGCCCGCCCGGAATGCTATATCTCGTGACAAACCCATAGCAGGAGTTGAGCGAGACGAGCTTCTCTTCGACCGGCGTCAGTCCCTTGAGCTCATCGGGAACATGTGCTCACAGCCAAGGCGAGTGTGAAGATGGACCGCCGGCGACAGACTCCCGCGCGCCAGGCATCGGGCACACTCCGCACACACCGACACGGGCTCGCCTTCGGGAAAGCAGCTCCGGCATGAAAATGGTGAGCGGCCGCCCTCTGGCACGCAGCTTGACAGCCATTGATCCCATCTGATCTCCTCAGCTCTTTTCTCGTACGCTTGCGGTAGCTGTCATGCAGGTCCGTATCGGCAACGTGCTCGCATCGTGGAACGCCTGATAAAAATCCCGCACCGTCGACACCTTCCTGTCGTGCGGTATTGGCGTACACCACGTCTGATCGTTAGACAGCCTCTCCTTCATGGCGAAGTCTTCCTCCAAAAAACGCAGCACACTCGCCAGGTCTTCGGCCCGCAGCTCCCGACTCCTCTGCCTTCCGATTCCACTCCGAATCTGTTTTCTCGGGCGCTCGTCCGGACCAGGAAGACGTTTTCTCTTCTCCCGCCTCCGGGCCGCCTCCGGGCCGCCTCCGGGCCGCCTCCGATCCATGATTTCTTCTCTCCGTGGCTGATTCGCTTCTTCGCAAGCCGTCGGATGCGGCAGCTTTGGCGACGACTGCCCGACTACGTGCGCATCCCCTGACACGCCATCCGGCCCTTTGCACTGGACAGGCACCGGGCCGTGCTGGCGAACGTTTTCCACGCCGAACCTTGACCTCAGTCCTTGCCCTTTCCAGCACTCTCCTCGTTCTTGCTGCCGATCAAACTGCACGGGCTCCCCAGCCGCCACCCGCGATGAGCCGCCCACCTCCCTTTGCTGCAGCCTCCGCCCGCTCAGCGAAGCGTCCGCTGGCTCTGCCGCGGCGTCGCACCCCACAGGAGACGGCCCCGGATGCTGCGCCGTACCTGCTGCGTTGGAGACACCCCTGCGGCCTGGTACTCCCTTTACCCGCCAACTCCGTCCCCGACGGCGCTTGGGCAAACCAGACGCAATCGCTGCTGCTAATTGCCCGTTTTCTCTTAAGTTGTCGAATACCGGTTCCCTAGGCTGGATGGATCGAAGCTTCGGTACCTCCTTCGAATGAACACTCGGGACATCGCCCGCCGCCGCCGTAACACGTTGCTCCTCATCTTCAGGATCTCCTCCTGAGGCAGAAAGTGCCGATGAGGAGCGGACGATCAGAGTCCGCTACCCCATATCTCCACGTTCCCTAGGCAACAGGGGCCTCGGAAGCTGACCCGGTGACTGATGTTGCGCGGAACTTCCGCTGCTAACCATATTATGGAACTTCCGTGCTCTGTTTGACCGCAAACCGCCTCGCGGCGGTCTTCTCGGCAACGACCTCGCAATTGCTTCTGCGTGCTGTCTCCATGCGGTGTCTTCAACCACAGGTTTCCTAGGCTGAATCGGCCGGAACGTTGATGCCGCATTCGCCCGTGATTCGTATCTTCGTAACCGTCCCAGGCTCTCCCCCCGTGCTCTGCGGCCCCTCTCAGAAGCTGCCACCACATCTACACCGGCTCCTGTCGCACCATCTCCGAGCCCCGAACCCGACCCGCTCACGTTCTCACCCTCTTCTCCATCCCCGACTGACAACGAACAGGCTTCAGGGTGAGCAACCGCCTCGCTTAACTTCACTGCAGGACTGTCCGCCATGCTGCTGCCTCCTCGACGTCGACTGCCGTAAATTGGCAACAGGCTATAAAGCTTTGGCTCCGGAGCACCTCCACTTGGACAGTCTCGCTTGTTGACGACGCTACTTCTCCCGAATGGGAAGCTCCCTAGCCATCACTTCCCTCATGGCCGTGGCGTTTCTTCCTTATAGCTTCCCTATAAAATGCTTCCCTATGGTACCGAGGCGATGCAATACTACCCTCTATATTCCCCGTTACCATGCCTATCTATGTGCGTCCACCGTCCCGGCCTCGCCTGGTCTCCACGTGCGACCTGCTACCCCGGCTTTGCCAAAGCGACCCTTCCATCGCCGTGCTCTCTTTTGCGCACTCCAGCGAATCCTGGCCACTGCCGACCTCCGGCACATGGAGATGGCCGCGACAACCGCCTGCCGCACACTTCAAACCATACTCTTCAGCCCTTCCAACACCATCCTACCAACCTTGCGCATCAGTTCACCATCAATACCCGCCAATCCGCCTCGTCGAGCAACAGCCACAAGGCTGCCGGCGATAACATGTCCATGACGTCCCTCATGCAGCCGGACTACCCTTCTAGATTTGCTCCCTCGCCAGCACCAATGTCGCATCAACGGCCTTAATGCTAAAGCGATAGCCAGGACCCCCCTGCCTGTCCTCTTGTAGTCGCTAGCCACCGGAGTCTCGACTTGCAAACCCTCTTGGAAAGTTCTCGTGACCAACTCGCATCCTCCTCCTCAGGTCGACCCATATATCCGACTTCACCGTGTCCCAATAGTAGACTCGACACGGTCGGCACCCGCCTCGCTCAGCCGCACGCAATGCCCATCCAACTACCGACGACCGTCAAAGGGAGTCCTGCAATACTACCATAACCTCTTTCTTTCCTTCACTCTCATTCGTTATTGCCCCCTTTGCTATCTACTCCATGCAACGATGACACCGAAGGGGACTACTGGACTTTCTTTCTCCGCAGTCTTACCCACACTAACCTTACCGTTCGCCGACCTCCAACTTCTCGCAACATAGCCATCACCCCTACTCAACTTCCAACCCCGGCTCCTACTTCACTCACGACCACAGAACCAGATGGTCGAGACTGCTCGAGAACCTCGCCAGCTCATTCCCGCATACCCCGCTTCTGATCTATCACCTAGGTAGCATTCACTGACTCTCAAGTCTCCCGACCCGAGCCACGAGCCCTCTTTCGAGCAGCAAGAAAACCTGCTTTATAGGATGCCTACCTCTACTCTGCCTAACCCTCCTTTACACTTCCACGGTGACCACATCTGCCATGTTCTCACGATGTCGGCCTCCCAGCTCAACGTCGATACCTCGTCCTCCCGCGGCAACCTCTTGACAGCCAGAAAAATGCTGGCGCCGACATGTCCATGATGGCCTTTGTCCAGCCCGGCTGCCCGTCTAGGTTCGCCTACCAGAATGAGCATCGTGTCAAAGGGCTCAACGCAGAAACCCTAGCGAGGGTCTTCCTTCCAACGCCCTCATGGCTGTCGACTCCAGAGTATGCAGCAATCCGGTCAGATCCTGACAATCCATCGACCTGCATCTTCTTGAGCCTTAATATTTCCATATACAACCAACAGATAATCCCCTCGGAATGGACCGAGCAGTGGTTCTTTATGGTCGGCCGTGTTCATCCCTTTGCCCTGACGTGGGAAATCGAGCGACGTGATAGCTTCGAGTCGGAGGATGACAACATTACAGAATACACCATCCCGGCTCTCATCGTCCGCGACCACAGCTACCAGCCGTAGGTGTATGCTCCAGACCTCCGTCACCACTACCATCTCTGACGATGGCCACAGAGTCATCCTCGCACCCTCGGCTCGGCGGATGCCTTCCCAGCGATACAACCCATTGTCTCCTTCACGGGACCTGTCATCGGTTCCGGCCGCGACCTTCTGCATGGAAACTCGGCTGCGGCCCTTGACGACACCCAGCTGAGCTGTTGCGGCTTTGTCCAGCTCTCGACCTTTATCTGTCCTGGGATTCCGGGCAAAACACCCTTCAAGGGCTTTCATCCCTTTCAACTTTTCGTCATCTTCCCCATTCACGCCAATCCTTGGACCTCCTATGCAAGAAGATGACCGAGAGGCGCGATAGCCAGTTCCAGCCGAACGCTCTCCTCACCTGCACGGGCAAAATCGCCGGCTTACTCGATCACCAGATCATGACACATGCCCCGGCCTTCGAGCAAGACTATATCTTCATCGTCGTCCCCGATACATGGACTTTCCTTGACAGGGCCATGTCCAACCAGGCTTCTGCGACACAGCTACTGCCGACGACACCCAAGGGCTCAGTCGGCAACCCTCGGACTATAGCGATGCGTTGGCCAGGTTTACCTCTACCAAAAACGCAATGCCGCCCCAAGCGGCGCCTCCCCACGCCGCCTGCATCTAGGTCAGTCGATCCTTATGATGACATCAAAGCGGTCATTGCCCGATCCCGACCAAACCCCAACCAAGAGACCGCGACTTTCTCCAGAAATTTCCACCATAGTCGCCGCCTGTGATAGTCGAGGCCCCGCCAAATCCGACACTTCCTCCCTTCTGTCCCACGAAGACCCGGAGACTCAGAGACGGACACCGAGCCAGTCAATCACCCAGCCACATCCGCCTCTGGCCCTATCAGACCTCCGGCGTCAATCTCTTCCCGACCCCACCGCGCCCGACATCCGCCCAAGAATATTCTGTAAAGCAACGAACGAAACAACACAACATGACAAGGAACATGTTTCATCATCCTCAAACTCAAGTGCGAAAGGCCCTAATGGGATATTTCCTTCTCCTCTTGCTCTCCTTTTCACAAAGACAATCCAGTCAAAACTTCTCCAATATACTCCTTA